TATATGTATGCATATATATGAAACTGGAAGCTAGCCAACAATTGAGAATTGAAAAATAAATGTAATTCACCGAGTTTCTCATCAGACTTACAACATTTAAACAACCGACTCGGATTCCATCACACAATCCCATAAATATGCACTTGCGCATATATATGTGCATATATTATAGTATAGTTTATCTCCAGTCACTTACTTATATTTACTATATCATCCTTATACCTAGTATATTATCATTAATCTTCTATCAACATAGTACCTATATATATTATATAGTATAATATATCTATATATATAGCTATGTATATATACTATTTTGCGTATGCGAGCGGTTCATGTTCATAACAAGACAAAAACTTTAACCGACAAATAGGACCCTCCTCAATCAATGCCCAGACACTATGCCATGCTGCACTACAATATACATTTGATAGGCTCCACTATAAAGTTATGATACAATATATATGATATATATATACTATAGATATTATACAATATATAAATTTAGTTTATGATATATTATAGTTACGTAATAGTTTTCTATTGTATGTATGTCAATGACTAACCGTGCATTAGTATAACGATCAGAATGGTTGCGATCTATATCGTCAGAGAGGAGATATATGTTATATGTGTATTATATATTCCAGTAGATGAAAACATTGAGCGGACAAATTAGCAATGTAAATGTATATTATTCAAAAATGACTTCGCACAGTGGGCATGTTACAAAAAGTGTACAGGAAAACACCTATCAGTTGTACATACACAATTGTGTTTTGCAGGAGAACAACAAAAAATGAGAGACAGATTTACTGTCTGTGCCAGAGCTTTTTCGCATAGTGACTAATGTAGATTTAACATTATTAGATCCTTGTGTCCTGGTCTGCATGATAAAATGCATGAAGGTATGTGTTATGTCATTAAATTTTTTGTACTCATATTGTCAGTGAAAAGACTTTATTCTTGGCCAATTCCTGATGTTTATAAAGCTGAATTTCATTCAGTATAACTGCTTATTTTTTCAGTGTAACAGACGTTCTTATTAGAATGATACAACAGTAAAGTGATTTTAGCTCCTAATGGTGTTTTTAGTTTATATTAAAATTGAGTTTACACTTAAAATATTTTGGGTAGATATATAATTTGTATTTACGTTATCTTGCTTCATTTGGCTGTAGAACATGTTCATATATTTAGGCATATAATAGCATTATTACAGTATATATACTTAGTATGATTATATAGTATAAGTATTTATATGTCATGTATTAATATAATTAAGTAATTAATATATATAATATATATATATTTATTATATTTTTTATTATTTTTTTTTCTGTGAGTGCGTGTTGTGTCATGACGATGAATGTGTGTGAGGTGTGGCGGTGTAGTGATGTGATATGTGTGTGTGTGTGTAGTTGTGTTGTGTGTGTGTAGATATGATATGATGGTGTGTGTGTGTGGTGTGTAAATGTGCTGTGGTGTGAGTGTGTGTGTGAGATGTGGTGTGTAGAAATATCACCTGGATGGTTATGTGGTGTGGTCAATTATGTGTAGGTGTGTGTTGCTCCGTGTGAGTATTGCTGCTCGTGATGTGTATGTATGTGTATGGTGGTTGTGTGGTGGGTGTTGATGGAATTTTCATTGTCTTTAACATTTTTGTGTGTGTGTGTGTAGGGTGTGTGGACGCAGTTATGTGCGCTTGTGCGTGTTCGTGAATGTTGTCATGCGTAGTGTATCTTCAGTTATATTTGCAGCCTATATCTGTATTGCACACATCACTTTGCCCGGATGGCACTGCGCACGAGAGGGAAAGTGCCTTCGTATATGAAGATGATTTTCCTCATTATCAATTTTTATTCCCGAGGGAAAGGATACTGGATAAGGGCGGCCTGAGATGAGGGGGCCGGGAAGGGCGCCGAGGGAACAGCATTCTGATGCCTTTGATCTTAGTGATGTTATCTGTGTGGAAGTATTTACACTATCGGTTCAAGGTACACATGAAAGGGTTATTTGATCCCGGGGGTAGGGGAGAAGGGGGAGGGGCACTGAGGGCCAGGGGGTGGGGTGCTTTTTCAGCGCCTGGTCTCCGAGGACCGCTTGTGATTGGGCATGTTTGTTCGCGCTTATTATGCCTTGCATGGTGGCAGCGGTTCGATTATGGGGCGAGTGCGTCTGTTACCATTTATAAGATAGCCTATGCGATTATACAATGCATGCGAATAAGCAGAAGTGAATGCACCAACGCACGTAAAAGGACATGTGCATACCACTTGCAACATGAGCATGGGTTTTAACGAGGACACACTTGCATGAGCACAAGGGCACTTGAGCAAAAGCGTACAAACGTTTTAGTTGCAAGCATTTGCATTTAATCAAAGTTTGCAACTAAGCTCAAGTCCATGCTTCACAACACTTAGGATGAAAGCTCAGAAACAAGGAACTCTTTAGTACAATGAACAAGCAACTGACACACACAAATACAAAGCGAATTTTCTTGTTTCCCTTCAGGCGAAAGGATACAAACACAGTAACAGTGTCAGCCCATAGAGACAAAGGATATGTCATTACTAATACAAATATACGTGTGTATACGCACCACCACGTGCCGCTGTGTCATCAGCTGAAGTGCATATAAAAATAGTTTGGCGTCCAAGAAAACAACCGCTTCCTGTTGCTAAGGCTTGTTGAAATACGAGATGCAAAGTAAGTTAACTGAAAAGGAGATAAGGAGGAAAACACATTCTCTCTCTCTTCCCTCGCCCTCTCTCTCCTCTGTTTCGCACGCGCGCGCGCGCACACACACACCACACACACACACACACACACACACACACACACACACACACACACACACACACACACACACACACACACACACAACCCACAACACACAGACCACACACAAACACACTCCTTCACGCGCCCTAAGCAGCATCCTCTACCCCCTCCCCCTTTTCCCCAATCCCTCATCCCCTCCTTCCCCCCACCGTCGCCTTTACGTGGAAAACGAAAGTAATTCCCCCAATTGAACTCGGTCGCAAGCTCCTATCGATCCCAGGCCAGCGTTTGTGGGTCGGAAGCTCGCGGCCTGATCCCAATGCTGATCATTCAATCAGTTCAAATCACCAGAACGGGGAACGCTACCTCTGTGCCGGCCCTATTGAACCCCGGATTGTGCTGCGGCTTTCCACCCCCTGTTGCCGAAAACTTACCGTTTGAGGAGAGGTTGGGGCTGGGGCGCTGGGGGACAGGAGAGGGTAGGGGGAAGGAGGAGGAGGAAGAGGCTAAAGGTAAGGAGGAGAGGGAAAAGGGTAAGAAAGAGGAGAGGGAAAAGGGGGTAAGATTGGGTAAGGGACGCTGCAGGAGGTGTAATTGGGTTAAGGGGTAAGGACTAGGAGAGAGCAAAGGCTCGTCCGAGTGTTTCTCAGTAAACGTGGGCGGGGAAGAAAGAAGTTAGAGTAAGGAGGGGGTTGAAGAATGGAGAGAAAGGGAGACTCTGCGTGATATAAGTTCTGGGTGAGAGCACGCAGCGAGATGAGGTGCATGGGTTGTAGCTTCATGGATAAGGAGGGAGGGAAAGGGATAACGGAGGTGATTGGAGCAAGAGGGAACGCATCGGGTCGGCTCGTGCAGTGGAACTCGCGTCGATAAAGGTCTGGCCTCACCTCTCTCTAGGGCAGGCCCTTAGGAGAGCTGGTCGGATTGGCGCTCCTGAAGCGGTGACGAGGGGCGCGTTAGCGCGTTTTATCCTGAAGCTTATCCGTGCGTGTGCAACCACAGTGCATAGTGCTCGGTACTGGTCTGGCCATATAGCTAGCTGAGACTAGGAGTTCTCCGCTTAAGGCTCGCAGGTGCTTAGATTGCGAGGTTAGAGAGATTGAGGAGGGGGAAGATAGATAGGAGCGGAATTGAGGATGGGGGTTGGATGGGAAGGAGGAGGAGAGAGGCAAATAGGAAAGGTGTGGAAAGGGTATTCGAAGTGATAGGAGGTTAAGGAAGGAGAAGGGAGTTGAGGATGAGTAAGGTAGGATGCTATGTGGTGCATGGTTGGGGAGGATCTCTCTCTTTTCTCCCCCATCTTCTCTCTAGCCCTTTCCTTCTTCCTCCCTTCCCTCCTTCCCTCCCCTTTCCTTATACCTTCCCTCCCTCCTCTCCTCTCCTCTCCTCCCTCCCTCCCTCCTCCCTTCCTCCCTCCCTCTCTCTCTCTCTCTCTTCTCTCTCTCTCTCTCTCTCTCTCTCCTCGCTCTCTCTCCTCTCTCTCTCTCTCTCTCTCTCTCTCTCTCTCTTCTCTCTCTCTCTCTTCTCCTCTCTCTCTCTCTCTCTCTTCTCTCTCTCTCTTCTCTCTCTCTCTCTCCTCTCTCTCTCTCTCTCTCTCTCTCTCCTCTCTCCCTCTCCCTCTCTCCCTCTCTCTCTCTCTCCCTCTCTCTCTCTCCCTCTCCTCTCTCTCCCTCTCTCTCCCTCTCTCTTCTCTCTCTCTCTCTCTCTCTCTCTCTCTCTCTCTTCTCTCTTCTCTCTCTCTCTCTCTCTCTCTCTCTCTCTCTCTCTCTCTCCTCTCTCTCTCTCTCTCTCTCTCTCTCTCTCTCTCTCTCTCTTCTCTCTCTCTCTCTCTACTATATCTATCTATCTATCTATCTATCTATCTTTTTTCTATTCTAATTTTTGATTTGTAAATGATGTTGACTTTTCTTCTTTACAGGGAGCTAACATTTAACAAGGGTGATGTTATTTTCATCCGTCGGTCAATAGACAAGAATTGGTATGAAGGAGAGTTGCGTGGATCTCCCATGCAACTATGTAGATTATGTTCTTGTTCTTATTCTTAAAAAAAAAGAGAAAAAAAAGAAAAAACAAATCCATGATATAGAGTTCTGAGAATTTTAATCATTATACAGTATGGTTGTCAACTTTTATCTTGTAACTATTAGAGCCGGTAGCCTAAGATCAACTCATCTATATATACTCCATGGTGTGATATAGAATATTTAAATTCTCCAGATTGTGCCTTATGATCACATGAAAACCCTGACAAGAAAACCAACTGAAGGACAAGCAAGAGCGAGATTTAATTTCCAAGCCCAGACTTCCATGGAAATGTCCCTCAGCAAAGGTAAGTGCTTGGTAAAACATATTTCTTAAATGATTTGATGCTTTTGCTTTGAAATTGCATACATTTACTCGAAGACAACATTTTATCAAATCAAAGAAGCAATTTATTTTATCTACAAGGAAAAGCTTTTGACATAATGCTAGTGTTAAATGTCAGATTTAGGAAAAAAGAATCACATCCAGATATAAACAGTCACTCCCAGCTTCTCAAAAAGCAAAGTAATCTTCAGATCCTTTTCTTAATAATCTAAATATATGAGCAAATATTACACTAAACAATAACATTTCCTTGAGAAGCAAATATTTCAGACTTTCTTCTAATATTCACAACGTACAAATTAGTTGGAACTGCTTAGTTATGAAAGATAAACTTAAGAGCATTTGCTCAGAACTAGCTTGGATAAAGAGAAATACATCAACAAGTTATGAATAGGTAGCTACTCATAGATAATGACCATGAAACTACCTATCTCAAGATCACAGGGATATCAGGATAATAATTGGTGTTGGTCATCCAAGTGTGAAGGAAATTCTCGAATGTCATGTTCTCTTAATAGGGGAGCTGGTTGTTCTGACCCGTCGAGTCGATGAAAACTGGTATGAGGGTCGAATAGGCGCTCGCAAGGGTATTTTCCCTGTCTCCTATGTAGACACCCTGGTGGAACCAGGTCCTGACAGACCTTGTGAGTATAGGTTTAATTTATTTTTGTTTTTTCTCTCATTAATAGCTTTATAGAAATATCAGTTATTATCATTAATAGGTTTTATTAATTTCATTATTAAAAGATCCATATGATATTCACTGTAATGTGCCATTGTATGTTATTACTCACTTTGAGGTTTCGTGATGTATTGTATGGATTTTTTATGTTTATTTATGAGCATGGTTATCACATTTATGATAATTATGAGTATTAGACTAGTTCACCTTTTTATCTTTATTCTCACTGCCTGGAACTCAGTTTAATAGTAAGCATGATGAGATTTTTCTACTTTTAGACATTTTAGTTGTTTGCTTCAGATTGCAAAAGACAGTTTGAAGCTTATTTTGCAGTTGATATATGCAATTGCTTCATTAGAGATTTTAGTTGGGACATTGAGTGTATTGTGGAAAGACATAGAGTTTAGTAATAAGCTATTAGAATAGTATTATAGTGTAAATAATATATTATTAGTACAAAAAATTTGTTCAACATCTTTTAACTACCATTTTCTCATCATATTAAATATAACAATGAAAAATAAAGTACCTCACACATTTTTAAAGAAAAATAACATCTTAATCCAGGATAAATCCTCAAGTTCCGCATAAGTGGTAAATGGTGCTTTTTTTTTTTTTTTTTTTTTTTTTTTTTTTTTTTTTTTTTTTGCTAATACAGTCGAGACTCTGTGCCAAATATGTCAGATGTACACTCAAAATGGCACACTAGAACTGTTAATGCAGTTGTAGATTTAGCAGACTTTTCCATTACCTTTTTTTTTTTTATTGTCTGATATTTTTCATTTTGAAAATTCAAAATTCTGTGTATTGTATAATGTGTACATGTGTGTGTTGTGTGTCTCTTACATGTGTAACAG